CTGGGCCCCCCGCCTGGCTCCCTTAGCATCTGGGAGCCAGGTGGCGGCCCCACTGCCACCACTAGTCACTGTCTGTGATGGGCTTCTGCTCACACCCGCCTTGACCTGGCACTTCCTGTTCACCTGCTGCTGCAGTCCTGCTCTCGTCGGAGCTCATCAGGGCTGACAGTGCCTCCATTGCCACCCACTGCCAGCACTGCATCGCCAACACCCACCATGTTCCGCACCAACCCCTGGTGATCAGCGCATGTCATAGTGAGTGGTCGAACAACCGCCCAAGGGGACAATTTGCATTTTAGGCTTTTATTATATAGGATTGACTATATTCTCTCTGTTGCTTCTTTTTAACACACCCAATTAGCAATCAAGTATTCCTTTAGTTCTGTTATGATTAGAACTTGCCCAATACAATAACTATAACTTATATGCAAGTCAACCAACAAGTTTCTTATATGTATATATATTTAAATATCTTAAAACTTTAAGCTGAAACCGGTTTGGCTCTGTGGCTAGAGCGTCGGCCTGCGGACTGAAAGGTCCCGGGTTCGATTCCGGTCAAGGGCATGTACCTGGGTTGCGGGCACATCCCCGGTGGGAGATGTGCAGGAGGCGGCTGATCGATGTTTCTCTCTCATCGATGTTTCTAACTCTCTATCTTCCTCTCTGTAAAAAATCAATAAAATATATTTAAAAAAAACAAAAAAACCAAAACTTTAAAAAGTCATCTCATTTTCATATATCATTTTCCTGTTGAATAAACCCAACCAGACTCTCTCCTGTTACTTAATTCCTTAGCTTGGAAACAGGTTTCTAAGCAAGTCATGTCTTTGAAGTAGATAAAGGTTTATAGAACTCTAAGGAATAACTAGATTCATGGAAATATTGGCAAATTATCAGAACTGAGTGAACTGAGAATAATTATTATTCTTATGACTTTGTTCAAAATATTGCTGATTTTTCAAAAAAATATTTTTGTTTTCCAGATATAAATGTCTTAATCTCCAAGTTATTGTTATAAATCAGACGTGCTCAAAAGCATATGAGGACTGATGAATAGTGGGAGTGAGAGCAAATGAAGACTCTGGAGTAACCACCAAGGGATGGGGACCTGTTTACTGCACAGGTAGTGACCCTTGCTCTGAACACGGCTCCATGATCATGTGCCAGGTACTGCCAAATTGGCCTTCAAGATCGTACCGATTTACAAATCCACCAATCACATGGCTGCCCATCCTATATAATAAAGAGGGGATGTGCAAATTGACCTGTCACTCTGCCACAAAGAAGGTGGCGCCCACAGCGGAGGCGGAGGGTTTCCATAACACAAGATGGCTGCACCCACAGTGGAGGCCGAGTTCCCGTAACGTGCCTTAATGAGCAATCAGCAGGGACCTGAGGCTGCGAGCCCCCCCACCCCCACGGGCTTGACGGAAGACCTCAGGTTTTGCTCCCCGCCCCGGCACCAGGCTGGGGGACCTGAGGCCACACCCCCCCCCTCCACCTGGCAGGGCTTGACGGGGGACCTGAGGCCGCACCCTCCGCCCCGGCGCCAGGCCAGGGGACCTGAGGCTGCGCCCCCCCCCCCCACCCGGTGGGGCTTGACAAGGGTGGGATCAGCCGGGTCTGGATCTAGCCCAACTGTGGGGGTGGGGGCAGCCTGGTCTGGGTCTCGCATGGTTTTGAGGCGCATGTGGGTGCGTGGGGACTTGACTCTGGGTCCCATGGTGCACCCCAGACTCTGACAGGAGGAAGATTTTCATATACATTTTATTAATTTTCTTTCATCTCTGACACTTCTATTATAGAGAAAGGGCAAATAGCAATATTAAAATATTTCCTCTAATTAATCCCCTTTTATGTGCATGAATTTCATGCACCAGTCCACTAGTTTCCTTATAACTTCAATAAGAAGGAGCTTTATCGAAGTTTTAATCTTTGCCAATCTGTTCTCAGATGACCCGGCAAGAACAAAGAGACTTCTAACCCAGCCCGGAACTTACACGCCTCACCACCAGGATCCATTAGGTCTGAGAAACACGGGGATGACATGACACACACCCGATCACCGATTGACCGGTTTCATAAGGCTGACCATCCTGTTCCCGGAACCAGCAATACATACACTCATCAAGACCTAACACCCCCACAGGGGCTCCACTTCCAGAACCACAAATCACCAGAACCCCCTTTGTGCTCCTTACCCACATTCCCTTTCCCTGATTCCCCTAAAACTTACACCTAATGAGCTTAAGGGGAAGGTGAATGTTAGGGTTTTTACCCGTCACCTTCCCAGATTTCTGGCATCTGATATTATTAAAAGCGCAAGAAAAATAAATAAATAAGTAAAGAAACCAGAAATGCTCCATTAATTTTGTACAATGTTGTACTACTTGTGGGATGCTTCTGATCTCAGTCAGTCAACTATTCATACACAATAAAAATAGAGGACATTTCTAGGGGGTGGAATCCTGGTTTACTGAGGCGATCAATTGATCATTGAAACAACAATTATTCATTTGCTTAACTTCTCTCTGTTCATTCATTAGTTAAACCTGAGTTAATCATTAACCATGTGCCCAACTCCAGGTGAGGTACTGGCAACACAAAGAAGAAAAGGTGCTGTCTCTTACCTGGAGGCTTTGCAGGCATAGTCGGCTTTAACTAGAAAGAGTGAAAGTAGCTTTTAAAACTCAGTAATCGGTGTTTTCTTCATCAGCATCTATGGCCATTTCTCCCATAATTCTTTGTACCCTAAGTTTTATAACTTGATAATAATGTGGTATGATGTTAAATTACTATTATGATAATAATGCAGTTACCAGTTTCCTTACATATATATATATTTTTAAATCCTCACCTGAGGATATTTTCCCATTGATTTTTAGAGAGAGTGGAAGAGAGAGGGAAAGACAGAGACAAATATCGATGTAAGAGAAACACATCGATTGGTTGCCTCCTGCGTGAGTCCCGACCAGGGCCCAGGCAGGGGAGGAGCCTGCAACAGAGGTACGTGCCCTTGATCAGAATTGAACCTGGGACCCTTCAGTCCGCAGGCCAATGCTCACTAGGGCTCCTTATATACATTTTAATAATCTCATCAGGGTAGCCTTTGAACCCCAGGACACCCTGTGAACTATGATTATTCTGATTTTACAGAGGAGGACAATGAGGCTCGGAGAGTGATTTGCCCAAAGTCACAGCTACGAAGGGAGTAGTTGGGACTGGGCTTAATGCAGGTCTGGCTGGCTTTGACCACTTATTCTGTCAGAAATAAGCAGAAAAAGGTTGGACCAAGATTTCTGCTTTTCCTTTGAATCCTGTACCAGAGGGGTCTGGGCATACTGTGGGTGTAAATACTTTTAAAAGAAGGAAGAGGAAATGAAAGAATCAACAGAGTAAAAAGGCAACCTATGGAATGGGAGAAAATGTTTGCTAATTATATTTGTATCTGACAAGGGGTTAATACACAGAATATATAAGTTACTAACTTCTACAACTCAACACCAACAAAACAACTTGAGAAAATGGGCAACGAATGCCCTGGCTGGTGTGGCTCAGTTGGTTGAGCATCGTCCCAAGCACTAAGAGGTCCCGGTTCAATTCCCAGTCACAGTACATGCCCGGGTTGTGGACTCTATCCCAGATGGGGAACGTGCAGGAGGCAGCCAATGGATGTTTCTCATCGACGTTTCCCTCTCTCTCCCTCTCCCTTTCTCTCTCTCTAAAATCAATAAAAATATATTTTTTAAATGGCAATGAATTTGAAGACACATTTCTCCAAAGTAGATATACAAATGACCAGTAAACATATGAAAAGATGCTCAACATCACTAATCATTAGAGAAATGCAAATCAAAACTACAATGAGATATCACCGTACACCCATTAGGATGACCATTATTAAAACAAACAAACAAACAAACATAAAATAACAACTGTTGGTGGAGGTGTGGAGAAATTGAAATAGAATTGCTATGTATTCAGTAATCACACTATGGGTATAAATCCAAAAGAACTGAAAGCAGGACCTCAAAGATATATTCGCATACCCATGTGATTGCAGCATTATTTACTAAGCCCAGAGGTGAAAGCAACCCAAAAGTCCACCAAGGGACGAATGGATAAAGAAAATATAGTAGCCCAGCTGGCGTGGCTCAGTGGTTCAGCATCGACCTATGAGCCAAGAGGCCTTGGGTTGCGGGCTCAATCCCTGGTTGGGCGTACAGGGCTTGATGATTCTCTCTCATCATTGGTGTTTCTATCTCTCTCTCCCTCTCCCTTCCTCTTTGAAATCAAGAAAAAAAATTTTAAAAAAGAAAGAAAATGTAGTATATGCATAGAAAGAAATATTATTCAGCCTTCAAATGAAGGGAATCCTGTCACATGCTACAGCATGGATAAATGTTGAGGGCATTATAGTAAGTGAAATACGTAAGTCACAAAAAGAATTACTGTGTGATTCTAGTTATAGGAAGTATCTGAAGTAGTTAAACTAATAGAAACAGACATTTAAAGGAGGCTGCCAGGGGCTGGCGACAGGGGACAATGAAGGCATTGCTCAATAGATACAGTTTCAGTTTTTCAAGATGAAAAAATTCTAGACATCTGTAATATAGCACTGTGTATATAACATTTTTGAACTGGACACTTAAAAAAGGTTAAGATGGTAAAATTTATGGTTTGTTTTTTTACCACAATTAAAAAAAATTGTTTTAAGAACAAAGAGGAGAGCAGCCCGTGGTGCTCTCTTCACATCCGAATTTGTTTAGCTTAAAAAAAATCCGAGGAGCCTTGCCATCAGTTCTCCAATGACAGCGCTTCAAGAACTGCAACCTTCCTTTTCTTACACAAGCAAAGACCTCCAGGTTCAGCCAGGTGTCGCTCTCGCCACCGGCCCAGGCCCCGCCCCTAGCCCCGCCCCTCTCCCCGCTCCTCACCCTCGCCCCGCCCACCAGCTAGTTTCCTCCAATCGCGACCCTAGCGCCGCCCCTGCCCGAGCCTCTTTCCTGCATCCGGGCGTAGGTGGGCTGGCTCCGACGCCTCGCGAGCGGCATGGAGGTCCACGGCGAACCCCAGTGCGGCCCGAGCTCTTCCACTTCCCCCCAGGACGGCTCCGGGGTCTCGGTGTCCCAGGAGCTGCTGACGGCAGGGAGCGGCGGCCGCGGAGGTAACGGGCGGGTGGCTGCAGCGTGGGGCGCGCACGTGCGGCGTGGGGCGCACTGTTGAAGCGGCGGGGAGGACCGCAGGGCTGTGTCCAGGCCCGGCGTCCCGGAGGGGGGCCCCGGGGTGACAGCAGGGATAGCGGGCGGAGGGCGTGCGCCGGGCGCCGGGGCCGGGGGTGGGGGGTGGGGTGGGAGGTGTGTGGCTTTTATTTTCCGCGCGGTATTGAGCGCCCATTCTGTCGAGCGCCTGAGCGCGCGCCTCCCTAAGGGGAGGACCTTGGGGTCGGCTCCCTGGGCCCCAGCAGTGGGCAGGTCGGGAGCAGATACTGGTTATGGATCACCCCACCATCCCACCCACACCCCTCCATACTCAGAGAACCAGCCCTTCGTGCCGCTTTCTTGTAGAGGGAGGGGCAGGTCCAGGGAATCCACACGGGATTTCAGACACCGTAATAGAGAATTAAAAGTCACCAATCCGAATCCCAGCCCCACGAGTAATTAGCTGTGGGACTTTAGGGGAGTTGCTTATGTTTTCAACCCCCCATTTTGGTAGCCGTACCTATAGAATTATTGCGAGAGAATTTAATCCTCACAAGACCCTGTGCAGAAGGTTCTGTTATCTCCATTTATAGACGAGGAAACAGTCCTGGTGTATCATACAGATGACTTGCCAGAGATCCCGTGGCTGGAAAAGGACAAAACAGATTTGAATCCAATCGGTCTCCCTCCAGAATTCAAGCTCTAGAAGAGCGGTTCTCAACCTGTGGGTCGCGACCCCTTTGGGGGTCGAACAACCCTTTCCCAGGGGCCGCCTAAGACCATCGGAAAACACATACATATTGTTTTTGTGATTCATCACTATGCTTTAATTATGTTCAATTTGTAACAATGAAAATACATCCTTCATATCAGATATTTATATTGCAATTCATAACAGTAGCAAAATTACAGTTATGAAGTAGCAACGAAAATAATTTTATGGTTGGGGGTCACCACAACATGAGGAACTGTATTAAAGGGTGGCGGCATTAGGAAGGTTGAGAACCGCTGCTCTAGACGCTAATCCAGTCGCTAGGCCTGAAGTAGGAAGCAGGGAATGACTGTGGGGCTCTGCTTGGTGGGCAGACAGGGTTTGGGTACCAGAGGGAGGAGATTTTGCAGGTATTGGAAACGGGGAACTCGAGGAGTGGTGAATAATGAGACGGAATAGACGGAGTGGAGGCACAAACTTCTCCAGGGGGCAGTTTGGTTCAGGTTGGGCATCTTTAATGAAGGGGAACTAACCAGGCCGGCATGTTTTACAAATGAAGAAACCATTGCTCAAAGAGGTTAGGAATTTGCCGGGTATAACACAGCCAGTGGCCTCACTTCACTGTTGTTGTACCTGCACCGCTTCCTCCGTTCTGTCATTGCAGAGCAGCTTTAGTCACGGGTGGGTTTCTGATCCAGAAAGGTGCAGTTTAGGGTGCACTTACTCAGCACCAGTGACACAGAGATGTACGAGACAGGCTTACGAAAGGGAAGGTAGATTCTGCAGATTTGAATCCATGTAAAGAACTAACATGTTGTAATGGAACTTGGGGTGCTTCTCTTTTTAAAAGCGTTTTTGGGAAACGTGGGATGGTCAAGACTTGAGAATAATCACAGAAAGTTTGCTGATTGGCTCCTGTTTCTTAATGCCATTAATAAATTGTGCGTTTGTGTATGTTTTCAGGTATATGGGACAGATTGCTCATCAACCCCAAGCCTAATTCCAGAAAGAATTCCAGTCTTCAAACAGTTCGGATAGAGAGGAGTCCCTGTAAGTATCCTTTCCCCTCTCCCTCTTCCTCTCTCTCAAGAACCCTCTCTGATGTTAATTCTGCCTAATTAAGCAGTTATTTGGTGGGGCATTCTTTGCCTTGTGGTCAGATATTCAACCAGAGTCCAGCGGAGAAAGTCTGACTTGGGGATTTACATTTCAAAGTTTGTGCACAAGGATTGAATTCCTTACATATTTTCCTGCTCTAAGACAGTAATAACTTTTCCCAGAAAAACTTTGTGGGATGAATTTTTGGAAATCAAAATTAGTGTGTGGTGATTGCAGGGGGGAGGGGTGTGGGTGAGGTGGAGGAGGTATCATGGGATGGAAAAAAAGATATTAAAAAAATTGTTAATCTCTGGAAAATTTTTTTAGAGGTTATTCAGCCAAATTTAATACACATGTATGAGAAAACACCACCACATTCTGTTAAATTGAACACAATTATTTAAATGGTAAATGTTACTCGTAACATGACATAACAGCCAATTCTGGTCATTGATTGCGCCATAATATTGCTGTAATGCCTTTAAAAAAGTTTTTTTAAATTGATTTCAGAGAGGCAGGGAGAGGGAGAGAGATGAAACATTAGTGATGAGAGAGATTCATTGATCGGCTGCCTCCTGTACACCCTCCCCTGGGGATGGAGCCCGCAGCCCCGGGTATGTGCCCTGACCAGAAATTGAACTGTGACCTCCTGAGCCACATCAGCGGGCTTGCCCTTTCTTGACCTTTACCACCATTTTCTTTTCTCCTGAACTCTGGACATGTATCACCTGTTGTGTAGCTGTGTCAGTGACTATGTTTTGAGAGCTAGTGATGTGCTGGGCCTCACAAGAGTAAGAAACTATTATCCCGTTTGTTGACTGCCCTGCTCGTAGCACAATGCCTGGCTGTTACCACCCCTGTTTTACAGATGAGTAAACTGAGGTTTCCAGTGATTAAATTAAATGTATTAGTTAGGACTCCTGTTACTGTAAATGACTAAAATCCAACTCAGATTTCCTTAAGTAGGAAAGAAAGAAACAAAAACAAAAAAGAAAGAAAGAAGAGGGAGGGAGATAGAAATAGAGAGTGAGGGAGGGAAGGAGGGAAAGGAAAAGAGTAGGGAGGAAAGGGAAGGGGAAGGGATGAGGGAGAAAGGGAAGGAAAATAGAGAGGAAGGAAGGAAATTTTTTTGGCTCATTTTATTGGGTAAAACCCAGTGATTTCAGATACATCTGCTTCCAGGTGCCTGGTATCATCAGGGGTCCTCTGCTCTGCATCTCAGCTCTTCTCTCCTAGGTGTTGGCTTAATCCAGAACAGGCTCTTCTCCCACCTCTAGCAAGCTGGCCAGTTTATCAGCAGCCCTGGGCTTAGATTCAGCAGCTCGCTCGCTCGCTCACTCACTCACTCAGAAGGAGGATTTTTCCCCCCCTTAACAGTTCAAACCATGTTTCAGGGTGATCTCTTATTGGTCTGACCAATTCATGGTGTCACTGTGTATGCCACTGAACCAACTCATGGTGGCCAAGGTTGCAGAGCATGTAGGCACATCCAGGGTGGGGGGCAGGAGTGACTAAGAGTGACAGAGATGAAATCGGTTATGTTATTAGAAGAAAGGGGAATAGATGTTGGACAGGTAAAAACAAACACTCTTAATTAACATGCCCAAGGCAATTCAGATAGTCGGGGTGGAACTGGGATTCTATTAATAACCTTGTTGGTCTGCCACCACACCTGGTGCACTTAACTATTAAGTCATAGGGCCTCCTATTTACTTATTATTTGTTGAATGCCAGCCTTCTAGTATAGCGGTCGCCAACTGGTGGTCCGCAGACCACTGGTGGTCCGTGAGGTCCTAAAGGTTGGTGACCGCTGTTCTAGGAGGTTACAGCGCTGGGGATATATGAAAAACCCAAATTATTGGTAAATAATTGCTGAATTGTGTTCGGCACAGGACCAGCCGGTATGGCCCAGTAATTGAGTGTTGACCTATGAACCAGGAGGTCACAGTTCAATTTCAGTCAGGGCATATGCCCGTATTGTGGGCTAGATCCCCAGTAGGGGTTGTGCAGGAGGCAGCTGATCAATGATTCTCCCTCATCATTGATGTTTCTACTTCTCTCTCCCTCTACCTTTCCTCTCTGAAATCAATAAAAATACATATTTTTAAAAAGGAATTCAGAAGAGGATGGGGATTTTTAAAATGAAAGGAATATGAAAAATTATTTTATTACTATTAAATTCACAAATGTTTTAGAGAAAATTCTGGATTTTACAATTTGAACTTTGGGCAAATACTAATGTAAGTATTGATAAACTATATTTTCTCTCTTTAGTATTGGACCAGGTACAGACCTTTCTCCCACAGATGGCTCAGGCGAATGAAAAGCTAAGAAAAGAAATGGCAGCTGCACCACCTGATCATTTCAATATTGAAAATATTGATGAGACTCTTGGAAACATTATACAAATGGTAATTATACTTAGTTTTCATTTCAGATAGTAAAATTACCAGTGTGCCTCACCGCCTAAAGAGAGCGAGAACTTTTCCATTTTCATTTTTTTAAAATTTTGTTTTATTGCTTAAAGTATTACAAAGAGTATTACATATGTCTCCTTTTTTTTTTTCCCCTTGACATTCCCCCGGCCTCCCTTACCCCCCATTGTCTTGTGTCCATTGGTAATGCTTATATGCATGCTTACAAGTCCTTCGGTTGATCTCTTACTTCCCCTTCTGCCCCCCAACCCTCCCCAGCCTTCCCGCTGTAGTTTGACAGTCTGTTCGATGCTGCTCTGCCGCTGTATCTATTTTTGTTCATTAGTTTATAATGGTCTTTATTATCCATAAATGAGTGAGATCATGTGGTATTTTTCTTTCATTGACTGGCTTATTTCACTTAGCATAATGCTCCAATTCCATCCATGCTGTTGC